TGGAGGCCATCGCTCTTAGATTGGAGGCCATCGCTCTTAGGTTGGAGACCATCGCTCTTAGGTTGGAGGCCATCGCTCTTAGAATGGAGGCCATCGCTATTAGATTGGAGGCCATCGCTCTTAGGTTGGAGGCCATCGCTATTAGGTTGGAGGCCATCACTCTTAGGTTGGAGGCCATCGCTCTTAGGTTGGAGGCCATGGCTCTTAGGTTGGAGGCCATGGCTGTTAGGTTGGAGGCCAACGCTCTTAGGTTGGAGGCCATCGCTCTTAGGTTGGAGGCCATCGCTGTTAGGTTGGAGGCCATCGCTCTTAGATTGGAGGCCATCGCTATTAGGTTGGAGGCCATTGCTCTTAGGTTGGAGGCTAACGCTCTTAGAGGTTGGAGGCCATCGCTGTTAGGTTGGAGGCCATCGCTAGTAGCCATCACTCTTTGGAGGCGGAAGACCCGTCTGTCCGAGTGACCAGTTCCCAACACGATGCCTGGACCCCACTGTCCATCTGACCGAGGGTTCGTGGCCCCACTGGCCAGGGTGGAAGAGGCTGGCTGTCGATATCGAAGGTCACGTGCCAACAACTTCCCATCGTTCAACGCTGTGAAGGCGACGACTTGGCCTGGCCAAGTCGTCGATTCGTTGATCTCCGAGTGATGTCTAAAGGCATCCCCCTCATAGCCCAGAGTCCGAAGCTGTTCACAACAAATGAAACCATCGCCTCTGTCCCAATGAAACTTCCACACGTTTCGCCATGCAAAAAAAGCGTCAGTGTCAAAAGCATCGTTCAGCTCTTTGCAGAACATGAAACCAAAGCCTTTGGATCGAAACTCTTCACCACCCCATAGATCCATGGAATCCACACGAATCGATGCTTTGGATGTAGGATGCGACGAATTGAGAGTTTGTCTCTGAAAGAGTCCAGCAGCAGTTTTCGGTGCACTGGCAATGGCCGCAGCAGATATGGCTGCAATAGTGGCAGCATCGGGGGGAAGACCCTGAAGTGCATCGGGGGGAAGACCCTGAAGTGGGAGTGATGGCAAAGGCTTAAAGGGTGTATTTCTGGCTTCTTGTGGCACAACTCTGTGACCTTCTACCCTTGGTCTCGGAATAAGTGTTGCCTTTCTCGAAATTGTCAGACTCTGCAAGTCCATCGCTTGAGGTTCAGACTTCTCATTCAGTGTCACGGCAAAGCTGACTTCTTCTCCTTCATCAAAGCCAGCGATTTGCTGTGGGGCAACACAGACATCGCAGCCAAAGGCGGCTTGAAGCTGAGGGCAGTTGATGGCGCCATCCTCTCTTACACCCTGAATGACCCCGCAGCAGCGTTTTTGCGTCAGGGCCTTGGAGGGTGCATATGTCAGGTCGGGTACAGCCACATCGGCTTTGTTTGCATCAGCTCCCCCAAGATAAAGCACAATTTGGCATCATCAAGACACCAAAAGATCGAACACCATCGGATCCATCGCAAAGACAAGCCCACGATCAGAAAAAAAGTCGAACACCAGAGATCCCCAACATCTTGGGAATCTTTCTATGGGTGGGGAGTGACTTGCAAAATACGCTGAAGGGGCTTCGACAATGCTGTGTGGCACGGTTTCCTTCACCCCTTCAAAAGCAGTTGAAATCATTTGAGTTTTACCCCTTTGCTTCCACATCCGCTTGTGCATTGGGCAGAACACTTGTCTTTTCCAGGATTCCACCAACAAGTAGAATTGCAATAATGAGGATGCGTCGTGGAACTATCATTCTAATGTCAAACCTGGTGCAAACGTGTAAAGTGCCCTTTGACATCGATGCAGTTAAGTGCTTAAACGTTTGAAAGGCTATTTAGACAGGCGGCTTGTAGACGAGCGCGGTGCGCGTGGAGTTTGCTTTGCGGAGCACAACATACACCACTGCACCTGCATTCACCGGTTCACAGGATTAAAACCAGCTAACCTGGTTTTCCATAGAGTTGCCGCTGAACCGTTTGAATTCATTGCGCCTTCTCGATTGGGCAGAAGAAGGTGTTTCTTTTCCATCTTGTCCACCTGGGCTCAGGCAGCTTTCAAAAAGCGGACAGCTCAAAGTGCTCAATGCAAACTGAGACACAGAACAAACGGACCTCATCTGTCATCCCAAAATGATGATTGGAACGGGTTCTTTAACCTTCAAAAATACAACGGTTGCTGCTCTTCACAAATGCACATCTGACAAAAATGTTCGCTCGGCCAGCCAAACAGACGTTATCTGTTTGGCCCCACAACCAAATCATCGACCCGCCGTTCCATCGGCCTCGGCTTGGTCTTTCACCAAGGCCTCATCAATGGAAGCGGGGTCACTTCAGAACACAAGTTTTAGTTCACTTTGGAACACAGGGTTTTAGTTCGCTTTGGAACACAAAACATGGGTCACTTTGGAACACAAAACACCAAAAACATGGAAGGGTTAGCAAAAAGCGAGATCACTTTGGAACACAACGCACCTGATTTTTTGGTTCACTTTAGAACACACACACAGACACAGATGGGGAGGGTTTAAGGGTGAAGGATGGGGTGGGGTGGGGGGGGGTGGGG